GCCCTAATTTCACTATCATATTTGAGAGACAGTTTTGCTGGATATATAATTCTTGGCTGGCAATTTTTTTTCCTTCAAGGCTTGATATATGTCATCCCATTTCCTTCTTGCCTGTATGGTTTCTGTTGAGTAGTCTGAGCTTATTTTTATCGACTCTCCTCTGTTGATGACTTTTCTTTTATCCCTGGCTGCTCTTAAAATTCTGTCTTTATCTTTAGTTTTGGCAAGTTTGATTATAATATGTCTTGGTGACTTTCTTTTGGGATCTGTCGTATGTGGGGTTGTATGAGCATCTGGGATAGATATCTTGTCATCTTTCACGATATCAGGAAAGTTTTCTGCCAACAAATCTTCAACAATTCTCTCTGTATTTTCTGTTATCCGCGCCCCCCACTCCCCCGTTCTGGTACTCCAGTCACTCGTAAGTTGTTCCTCTTGATATAGTCCCACATAATTCTTACAGTTTCTTCATTTGTTTATTTCTTTTATCTGATTTTTCCTCAAATAAGTTGGTTTTAAGTGCTTTATCTTCAGTCTCACTAATTCTGACTTCCATTGTCTCAGTTCTGCTCCTATGACTTTCTATTGAATTGTCTAATTCTGAAATTTTGTTGTTAATCTTCTGGATTTCTGATTACTGTCTCTGTGGATTCTTGCAGCCTGTTAAATTTGTCATTATGCTCTTCTCTAATATTTTTAATTTCCTTTATTTCGTGTTCTGCGTTTTGTTTTATTTCCTTCCTAATTTCTTGAAGAGTTCTGTATATTAATTTTGTACTCTGCCTCCGTTAATTCCAAGAAATTTGCCTCCTCTGGAAGATTTCTTGATTCTTTATTTTGGGAGCTTGCTGAAGCCATCATGGACTGCCTCTTTATGTGATTTGATATTGACTATTGTCTCTGAGCCATCAGTAAGTTATTATATTTATTTGTTTTATGTTCGCTTACTGTGTTCTAGCTTCTTGTGTTGTTTTGATACGCCCAAATAGGCTGCTCGTGTGAGCTAGTTTAATTATTGGCACCATTGAAGCTCTAATGTCCTGTCACTAGGTGGTTAGATCTGTTACTAGGTATGTGAGCTCAGGAGTCTGCCCATTCCTGTATGGATTCAGCTCAGGTACCCAAGTAGCCACCAAGTGTGTGGTGCAGGCTATCACCTACAGTCCTATACACGTTTGGGTGACTGGTGTAGGCACAGGCATCTGGCTGCAGCAGGGGGACACGCTCAGAGCAAGATAGGAGGCTGACTGCTGCCCCCGAGTGTCCAGGAGGAAGACCTGTCCCTGTTCCATAGAGCACGTAGGTAGGTGAGTTTTGCAACCAGTCTGTGAGCACCCAGTGCTGTTGGCTGTAAAGACTAAAGGGCATCTCTTATTCTTGGGCCCCTATTGCAGGTGACTAGGTGGCGTGGGTGGATCCACTAGTCCTCAGGCCCCTGATTTGGATAGGTGTAGACCCTGCTTAGTGGGCAGAGCAGTGTCAAATGTCATCAACCTGCCACTTCACAGCTGAAATAGTTGAAGCCAGACTTCAGGTTTTACCGCGATAATGAGGGCCTACGCCATTGAAATGGGCCCACACAAGTCCATGCAGTGGGAAAGCTATTCAAAGTCTGTGGATCCCTTATGCCTGTGCCTAGGCTAAGGAGCTGTGCCTACCTTGGGTTCCTGGCTTAGGGGAGCCAACAGTTTATTTTTTCCTGTTTGTTAATTTGTTCACTCTCCAAGGCCGGGAGAATGGCTCAGGGCACTTAACGGATCCTACTTCCGTCCCATGGGACTCAGCAGTTGCTGAAGCCAGTCTGGGACCCAGTGCATAGAAGGGAGCAGGGAGGTAAATGGGAGAGAGGTTTTTCCTTATCGGGGGTGTTTTTGATCTGTGCAGTAGGCCGGACACAAGTACTTATATTTTGCTGATTGAGGGCTGCTTCTCACTGGTTCTGGGTGGCCGAGTAGACTTTGCCGCTGAGTCTCTCCTGGTGTGGAAAACGTGCCTCTGGAGCACTGCTGTTTGCCTGCCTCAACACTTACCCATGAGCTCATCAGGCCTGAAGGGCTCAGGCTCTCACCAGGTCAGGTGTGGCAACTCCTTGCTGCTTCCGAACTGTCTCTCCCTTCTACTGCCACTCAGTCTGGTTCTTCAACTTTGCCTTTCATGTTCAAGGCTCCTGGATTGTCATATATAATCGATTCACCTGTTTTTTTGGGTCTTTGTTGTAAGAGGCTCCACCAGAAGCATCTGACTACCCTGCCATCTTGGCCCTGCCTCCCATTTTCTGTTTTTTTGATTACTTCCAGTAGTGTCGAAATAAGATAGTATCTCACTGTAGTTTTGATTTTCATTTCTCTAATGGCTGGTGATTGCAAGCATTTCCTCATGTGTCTGTTAGGTACCTGAATGTCTTCTTTGGTGAAGTGCCTATTCATATCCTTTGCCCTTTTTAAAACTGGATTATTTGTCTTTTTGTTGTTGAGTTGTTGAAGTATTCTATAGATTTTAGAGATTAGACCGTTGTCAGATGTGCCATAGCCAAAAAATTTTCCGCTGTCTTTAGATTCTCTTTTGACTCTTTTGGTGAAGTCTGTTGATGAGCATAAGTGTTTAATTTTTAGGGGCTCTCAGTTATCCAGCTTATCTTCTGGTGTTTCTGCATTGTTAGTTATGATTTGCATTGTTTTTATGCCATGTGTTAGAGCGCTTTGTGTTGTTCCTATTTTTTTCTTCCATAATCTTTGTTGTTTCAGATTTTATATTTAGGTCTTTGATCCATTTTGAGTTAGTTTTTGTGCATGGTGTGAGCTGTGGGGTCCTGTTTCATTTTTTTTCAGATAGACATCCTGTTTTGCCAGCACCGTTTGTTAAAATGTCTGTCTTTTTCCCATTTAATGGCCTTTGATCCTTTGTCAAAGATTAGCTGACCATAGGTGGATGGATTTACATCTGGGTTCTCAATTCTGTTCCATTGGTCATATGTCTGTCATTGTACCAGTACCAGGCTGTTTTGACGATGGTGGCTGTATAGTAGGTTCTGAGTTCAGGTAGTGTGAGGCTTCCCACCTTGTTCTTTTTCTTCAATAATGCTTTACTTATCTGGGACCTCTTTTCTTTCCATATAAAGTTGATGATTGGTTTTTCCATCTCATTAAAGAATGTGTTGGTATTTGGATTGGGATTATATTATATTTGTAGATGGTTTGGGGTAGAATTCACATTTTCACAATGTCAAGTTTTCCAATCCATGATCATGGTATGTAGTTCTCTTTTGGTTTCTTGCAATAGTGTTTGTAGTTTTTTTTTGTATAGATAGATGTTTTACATCCCTGGTTAGAGCTATTCCTACATATTTTATCTTTTTAGTGTCTATTATAAATGGTATTGTTTTCCTGATTTCCTTTTCAAAATTCTCTTTGTTGGTGTATCGGAATCCAACTGATTTTTTAATGTTTATCTTTTATCTTGCTACTCTGCTGAATTTTTCTATTAGTTCCAGTAGTTTTCCTGTGGAATATTTGGGGTTCTCTATGTATAGGATCATATTATCTGCAATAAGGGAGAGTTTTGCTTTTTCCTTACCAATTTGAATGCCCTTTACTTCTTTTTCTTGCCTTATTGCTCTAAGTAGGACTTACAGTACAGTGTTAGATAGGAGTGGTGATAAAGGGCATCATGTCTTGTTCCCATTCTCAGGGAGAGTGCTTTCAGCTTCTCTCCATTGAGAATGATGTTAGCTGTTGGTTTTATTTAGATGCCCTTTATTATGGTGAGGAATTTCCCTTCTGTTCCTATTTTATTGAGAGTTTGTATCAGGAATGGGTGTTGGACTTTATCGAATGCCTTTTGTTTGTCAATTGAGATGATCTTGTGATTCTTTTCTTTTGTTGTATTTATGTGGTGGATTACATTGATTCATTTTCATTGGTAATTTTTAGGCTGCTTCGCAAGTTTACTTTTTTCTGCAGCATGTTTGATGTTTTAAACTTGTAGGTCAAATGCTGGGTTTGTAGAGGCCAATTGTAGGCACTTTGCTGAATTTCTGGCTTCCACTATATTAAAGCTGTACAGGGAACAGATGATAACCTTTAGTGTTTTGATGAATGCAGAACTTGTGTGCTTCCAAATATTTTCCCAGGTACTTTGTGACTGTCCCTTTGAACTTCACCATTTGTTTCCAACCAAAAACCAAACTAGGTGCCATTGAGTTGATTCAGATCATGGCAATTCCATGTGTACTAGAGTAGAATTGTGCTCCGTAGGGTTTTCAATGGCTGATTTTTTGGAAGTAATCTGCCAGTACTTTCTTCCGCTGTGCCTGTGGGTGGACTTGTACCTCTAATCTTTTGTTTAGCAGCTGAATATATTAACCATTTGCACCACCCAGGAACTCCCCATTTGTCTCCACTTATCTAAAAATAGTCTTCAAGCTAGTGACTGGAATACTGCTAGAAGTAGAAACTTAATTCATTCATAGAGCTGAATGTAGGCTACATTAGGGAAAAAATTTTGGAAGAATTCATGAGCATTTATCTCTTCTTTTCAGGAACTAATACCAAGAAACTGTGATTTTTTTTTTTTTTTTTTTTTAAAACATGAGGAGACTATCCAAAGTATTTTTTAATTTTATAGTTACATATGTCTTAAGTTGTAAAAGGAAAAAGAACTGAAATCCATTATGTATGTTCATATTTTTTGGCTATAATATTATATGATAGGTTAAAAATCTTTAAAAAATTTTGATAGGGAAATACTTGAAAATGAAAAAACCCTCTTAATAAAATAATAATTAAAGTAATACAATCATTTGTAACTGAATCCTCAGTAATAAAACTCTTGCTAATATTTAGCATTACTATATTGCCTTTATCTTTAATAAGAAGGTAAAACTAACAAATGAAGCAGTTGAACCTTGACAGATGTTTATTATGTTAGTTCATATTTTCATCACTAATAATTATCTCTTTTTAAATAGAAATGTCTAATCATGTCCTCTTTTCCCCCCTCAGGGAATTGCTCCAAAGATGGAATTTTCTACAACCTCAGTGATTACTGAGTGTCTCATAAGTTCAAGGAAGTGCCGCACTCAGGTTGAAATCACTTATTTAAAGTATTTAATTGTTTAATTTATTTTTTTGTTTATAACCATTTGGTAAGCATTATCCTTCTGTTTTGGAGGTAGGTCTTTTCACTTTTTTGTTAATCTTTAGTTTAAGTGAAGCAATTATGATAGGTATTTAACAGTTTGTTTGCATATTTATAAATGTGAGAGTGAGAAGCTTGGTACATGATATTATGTTTCTTACTTCATGCCCTTTTTTAAAATGACACTACTTAGCCTTTTGTTACTTTCGTTTCTGTCTCTTTTTAATTAACTAGATTTTTTAGAATAGTTTTAAGTTGACAGGAAAATTAAGCAGAAAGTAGAGACAGCTCTCATAAACCTTCTCTCTCCCATACAAAACAAAACAAACCTGTTGGTGTTGATTCCAACTCGTGTTTCAGAGTAGAACTCCGCCCATAGAATTTTCAGTGGCTGTAATCTTATGGAAGTAGATCGACAGGCCTTTTTTTCCCAGGTACAGCTGGGTGAATTCAAACTGCCAACCTTTTGGTTAGTAGCCAAGTGCAAACCGTTTGCACCACCCAGGGTGCCTGTACCCCTGTATAGTTTCCCTTATTAACATTTTGCTTTAATGTGGTACATTTGTTAAAACTGGTGAATGGATATTGATGCGTTGTATTGATATATTAACTGAAGTCCATAGTTTATATTAGGGCTCACTCTTCGTATTGTATAGTACTTTTTGTTTTGACAAATGTATAATTCGATGTATCCACCATTATGGTATTATACAAAATATTTTTACTGCCCTAAAAATCTTTTGTGCTCCACCTATTCATCTCCCCACATGCTTCTCTGGCAACCACTGATCTTTTTACTGTCTCTATAGTTTTGCCTTTTCCAGAATGTCATATAGTTGAAATCATACAGTATGTAGCCTTTTCAGACTGCTTTCACTTAGCAATATACATTTAAGCTTCCTCCATGCCTCTTTGTAGCTCATTTATTTTTATTGCTGAATGATATTCCATTGTATGGATATACCACATTTTGTTTATCCATTCATCTACTGAAGGATATCTTGATTGCTTCCAAATTTTGGCACTTATTAATAAAGCTGTTATAAACGTTCATGTACAGGTTTCTGTGTAGACATGAGTTTTCAGTTCATTTACGTGAACACCAAGTGGCATGATTGCTAGATTGTATGATAAGACTGTGTTTAGCTTTGTAAGGAACTATGCCCTTCCCTTCCCTTCCCTTCTTTAATGCAGAGAAATCAGGTTGCCTGAAAGATATTGGGATGAAAGAAGTCCCACAGAAAACTAGATTGGAGGCTTATATGAATTGTATAGAAGTTAACATTTACCGCAAAAAATGTTTGTTGTGTGCCATTGAGTCGATTCTGACTTGTAGCGAACCTATAGGACAAAGTAGTACTGCCCCATAGGATTTTCTAGGCCGTAATCTTTACAGGAGCAGATCTCCAGGTCTTTTCTCCCACAGAGTCTCTAGTGTGTTGGAACTGCTAACCTTTCAGTTAGCAGCCTAGCACTTAACCATTGCGCCACCAGGACTCCTTGCAGAAAGTTTAAGGGATATATTTTTAGCACATGTGACCAGAGTTTCTACTAGATTGGGATAATGGTATTTAGTTAAGTGTGGTTTCTTGAGTGTCCCTAGTTCCTAAAGGGATTGGTGCTCAGTTTGGTAGCCATACAGGTGCTGTCAGATCAAGGGAAGCTTAGAAGTGCCTACCTAAGTACCTTCTGTGTTGGTGAAAACTGCCTGTAGTAAACTGGTGTATCTGGATGTAATATGCCATTCTGGTTTAACTTCTGACTGAGTCACCAGGGTCGTCTTGCTACCTTGTCCACAGGTTATATAATAATAATGTCTAGGCCTCACTCGTGTATTTGCACTGTGCCCAGGTAATAATGATCTCTTTGTGATGAAGAGTCAGTAATGTATAAGACCCAGAGGGCCCAAACATGGCAAGCCTGGGCTTATCATGGGAGGAGTGGAATGTTAATTTACTGCATTATCCATTTTAGAGTGAGGTTGCTGAGGTTGATAACTAACTTAAGCTGACAAAGGTAAAATATAGTTACAGAATTTATTGAAGGGATGATTCTTATTTTGTTTAGCAAGATATTTGATATTTCAGAATCAAGCTGTAGTTTTTTCTTTTAAATGCAGGCTGAAACTGTTATTAGAGAACTAACAACCTATAATGTGCAAATGAAGAGACACCATTATCGACTTGTTTTTGAGACATGCATTATGCTCTGTGTAAATTGTTAGAAATGTTTTGCCTGTACTCCTGCAACAGTACTCTCCACATTGGGATATGCCCTTTTAATGGATGGGTAGAGAAGTCCTTTTCTGCTTTTTTAACTTTTTTCCTGAAGGATAGCATACATTCCAATGTACTGTTTGTTGGAAGACCAAAAAAACCAAACCTGTTGCCATTGAGTCAGTTCCGACTTACAGTCCGACTCATGGCAACCTTATAGGACAAAGTAGAACTGCCCCATAGGGTTTCCATGGAGCAGCTGGTGGATTTAAACTGCCGACCTTTTGGTTAGCAGCTGAGCTCTTCACCAGTATGGCACCAGAGCTCTGCCCTTTCTAAATGTAAAGCTTTCACCCCGTTAGTAGTTTCCTCTCTGTGTTTTTGGCAAGATGACTCCGTTTCTTATTTTAACTTGATGTTTCAGTGTTTGCCATTTGATCTTTATTGAACAGAGAGTAAGAGAACAGACTTTGGTGTCAGACGGTGGTTAAGAGAATATGCTTTCGAATTAGATAGATCTGAATTCTAATTCTGTCCCTGCTACTTAAAATGTGACCTTGGGCAAGGTATTTAACCTCTTAGCCTCAGTTTCTTTATCTGTGTAATAGATATAATAGTTGTTATTACCTCATAAGACTGTTGTAAAGATTAAATGAGAGAATATATACAAAGTGCCTGGCACATAATATATAATTGATGAATTCTACAGCTTTTTTATAAGGAGGATATCAAGTTGAGGAAGTTTTGTTTGCTTTAATGAAGATAATTTAGGGAGGGAAGAAGATAATTGAAATATAAGGTGGAAAACATCATCTGCTGGCACACCAGAGTATACACTTTTACATTACATTTCCCAGTGTTCACAGTCCTTGACCTTGTTTGAGAAGGAGATACATTTACTTCTTTTCCTAGTGAATATTAGAGTTTAAGTTTCTAATGACTCTAAAGCAGCATTTTCACGTTCACATTTAAGAATAAAACAAATTTTGATTTTTAAGAGAGGAGTGAGTATAATCAATTTAATAAAATTATTTATGTTTGCAAATATTTAAGATGGTATTTATTTCTTTCAGCATTTTAGTATTTGATGTTTTATCACCAATTGATGGACTGAAAAATTAAGCCTGTTATTGTGATTTTCTGAAATAAAAGTAGTTTACTTTTCTACTCAGTTATTCTTTTCACATACTGTAAAATAGAATTTATTATTAAATAGATAAATATCAGTAGTCACTTATTAACATATGTTTGTTAAGCTGCTGTATCAGGTAATTTATGCTGTGTAACAAACCCTGGAAAATCTTAGTGACTTAAAACAATAGCTGTTTCTCACAGTTCTGTGGATTGGCTGGGTGGCTTTTTTGGTCTGTATTGGCAATGCTGGGACTGAATGACCTAGGATGGCGTCACTCACATGTCTGGCAGTTAGCAGGCTTCTTGGTCTGGGAGCAACCTTTCGTTTTGGCAATTAGCTTGATTTCAGCTGGGGAGATGGCCACGAGGCTTTCATCATCTAGCAGGCTAATTTGGGCTCATTCATATGGAGGCAGAAAGTTTTCCAGAAGTAAGAGAAAACATGCAGTTTGAAAGTCTCTATGTTTGTCACATAGGTTATCATCCTGTTGGTTGGAACATGCCACATGGTTGATAAGCCTAGAGTAATTGTAAGAGGTGAAACTAGCCTAGGTGTAGCTATAGGAAGGGTAATTATAGCAGCCATTTTGTAAACTGTGTCCATTTTAATAGGGCATTACAATTAAATTGAGTAGGGTTCAGTAGCATGCATTTGTAGTAGATAGTACACAGTTTATGACTTCCTTTAGTAGTATCCAGCACTCAGAAACTGTAATGGGAAAAGAAGATGGGGTTCGTTAAGTATAGTGGTATACTCACAGGAGGAACTTTACAACACTGCTGAAATGAATGATTATGAGTTCACCTGAGTATGGTGGTAAGCTATATTAAAAGTGTATAAAAGACTAGGGAAAACAGGTCTAGGGTCTGAGGAGGTGAGGAAAGTAGGTAATAGATTCAGTAAAAGAAAAGAAGTATATTGTGGAAAGGAGACTGTGATCAGCTAGAAATTTTTAGAGTATGAGGTGAAGTGGATCTACATAATGATAAAATATAAGATTAAGTAGAAAAAGATAATTAAAACTGAGAAACAGGAGCTGTGAGTCCAGGTTCTTGGAAAGATTCATTGTTTTTTGAATGTTTTAGTTAACCTGAAAGATGCTTTGTAGTGCTGACATTCCTTGCTTTTATGAGTCAGTGTGATGTCACAGAGATGAATGAAATGGGATAAGGTGGAAAGGAAAACTGTGAGCTATTTGTTGAAGTCATTGAACAAGGTGGGAGGTGGTCCAGGGTCATATCAAGAACTGAAAAAGAAAGATAATGAAATAATCTGATGCTGCTGGTCTGTATGAAACTCATGGACTTATTTTTCCAATTAGGAAAATACCTTTACTCTCATGTTCGTTTCCTTTTTAAAAATATTTGACTCTTCTATTTCACATTTGTATTTTATTTACTTAGAACCGATACCCTTAGCAAACTGGGAGGAGGGAAGGGTCTGGGAAAGTAGAGAGGGAGGTAGGATTGATGGTTTTTTTCAAGTGATTAAAGTTAGAAGTACATTAAAAAATTCTCAACCTCTAAGATTTAAAAAAAATGTCTTCTGCCCAAGTTAATTTATGTTTTTTTGTGTTCAGGATAAATTTATTTACCACTCGGCTCCAGTTGAAAAATCACACGGCAGATTGCAAGGCAGAACATCAAGATCACAAAAGAAAAAATCCAAGTCACCTGAGAGAAGTAAATATTGCATAAATGCAAAAAACTACGAGCAGCCTACAATTTCATCAAAATCACATTCTCCATCTCCCTACACAAAAAGACGCATGTGTGAGCTATCTGAAGACACCAGGCGGCGGCTGGCCCATTTAAATCTGGGACCCTATGAATTCAAAAAAGAAACAGATAAACCTCCATTTGTGATTAGACATGTATGTGTTCCCTTAAACATTTCCATTTGAAACTGATCAAATTTGTCCTTCCACCATAATATTATTCTGAAACTTCTTTCAATTTCTAGCTTATATTAATAATTTTCTTTCCTAAGTTGTCTGTTAGCCTAGCAATCTAAAATGGAAAGTTAACTTACAAGAAAAGAATTCTTTTCTGAGTCTTTAAACCCGAATAGAGATCAAACTCCATTATGAATACCATGTTTAAATCCTCTAAGTACCCATTTCCTTTCTTCTTATATAGTGGACAGTGTAATAACTCTACAAATTGAACTTGGATGTAATTGACATTAGTACTAAAATGGCAGAGTAGGATTTTAAAAGAAGACCAAGTATTCTTTATGAAAAGGAAGACCCCCACCCCAAGCCTTTTAGAAAATTACAATGGAAAGTAAGTTTCCTTTGAAATTATGCCCTTGTGAGTAAGCTTTGTATAATGGATCTTTGAAGTAAATCATTATTTTGATAGAGAAGGGAAGCCTATTAAAAAAAAAAGTTGAAGAGTTAACTTAAAGGTAGCATAATTCTAATCTTTCTATACAGAAACCTTCTTTTGATATTAAGTTTAGATCTTGTGTCCATGATAGTCAAATAGACTTTGGCTAAATTTAAGGGTCCATAATCAAGATATTTAATAAAGGACTTTCTCAGAATCTTCATAGTTTTTATAAAGTGTTTTTTT